GCCCATTATGGTCATTCTTAGGCAGAAAATAGAAAAAAATGTCCATTACAGACCAAGATGTCTTGATTTGTCTGACAAACAGTTGAAAACCAAAAGATATTCAGCCTACGTTGATTTAGAAGAGATAAAAGCAGAAAGTCTACCCACACAGGAGAAGCTCAAACCAGGGAATAATTAGGTTTGTTTTGCTTGAGAAATAACTTAAATTAAATCTAAATAGTTTGTGTTTATTTTTCCGTTGTTCAGCTGATCGATTATTTGACTGATTTCCCTTCTAGTTTTAAATAACCCCGATGTGAAACTGTGTTTTGTTAACATGTGTCCCAGTAGAGAACATTTCAGGATCTCTACATTTAAAGGTCATCACTGCGTAGACACTGTCTAGCACAGACTCTCAAATACATTGGCAGATGGAGGGATTTAGGTAAGACAACAGACTCACAGACCTACCATAAGGACACCAGCTGGAGACTCCCTTATGTTTGTGACTGAACAACAAGAAGCAAGAAGAGCAAACCCAGAGTAAAAGTAATATTTTAAGTGAGAGTTTTCCAACAAGGAACTGGCCGTCAGCTGTTATCGACTGAACCATGTCACCTTTGAAAAAAGTGAAACTGACACATGTAAATCTCTAAAGAAACTGAGGACCACAGATATGTTTTGAAGAAGCCTCCATGCTAAAAGCCCTAAAGAATGGACCGACGGAAAATAATCAACAACTACTGTGATAATACATTTATTGTTTTTGTCACTTTTTGAGCAAAAGTCTCAAACATATGTTGGTTCCTGCTTCTAAAATATTTTTTTTTGTAATATTTGACAGTAAATTTAATACCAGTCGGCCTTGTACTGTTGGTTGGACAAAACAAGCAAACAAAACAAACCCTTAAAACGCATACGACATGATAGACTACTGTACTACAATATAAAAAAGAATCTATAGCAACACAGTGAGCTGGCAGACACCCAAGAAAAGTCACTTTAGCATTGACACTTCATATTTCCATTTTGAGAGGATCACTGAATGGATGCACATCAGATTATTGCACTTTTAGAAAGAAGGGCAAAAACGATTGGTTGGTTGAACTTTGAGGTCATTTTTTCAAGCAAAACTGAGAAAAATGTTCTGGTTCAGGCTTCTCAAAGGTGGAACAACTCATTTGCATTTCTTTAACATCTATAATAGTAAACTGACTATTGTTCTGTTTTGGACTGTTGGAAACCTCGGATCCTGAGAAACTATAAACCAATCGTTTTATTGAGAAAATAATTGGTAGATGAAATGTAAATAACAACCAGTTGCAGCTCTTCAATACACCACAATATCCCACTGTGGCCTATGTATGTACTCATATATACGTATTCACACACAACTGCAGTGAATAGATCTGCATCAGATTAACAGTGGGTCTTAGAAAGAAAAGCTGAAACGGTTTGTCAATTAAATGCTTAGTTGATTGATAGAAGAGTGAACAGCAAATATTTAGATAACTGATTCAATGTTGAGACTTTTTTCAAGCAAAAGATCCAAAGGTTTGCTGGTTGCAGTTCCTCAAATGAGAGGATTTGCCGCTTTTCTTTATCATAAATGATAATAAACTCAATATATTCAGGTTTGTTGTACAAAACAACCTATTTAAAGATGAGTTTGCGATGTTTTTCTTTTATCAACTGAACAATTGAGTAAATAATCATCAAATTCTGATAATGAAAACATTGTAGCCCCAATAGAGATAAAAATCTCTCATGAGGCAAAATTAAAACATTTCATTTCTAAATCATTATTATACTTTCTGTTTTTAAGCACACAGAAGCCTAACTATCAGACACACAGAATTAAATATAGTAAAAACTAAAATTAATTGAACTACAGTTATTCCAATATGAAGCTCACCACTGTGAATTCCCAGGACAGAAGGTGAAGAAGAAACAGTACAGGTGTGAGGCAGCAAGTGAATTAGCGGCACTGAGACTTACTGTACCTGACCGACCAGAGGATTACTTACATGGTTGCACAGTCATTGTGTATTTCAGTGTATGCGCATGTGTTGCATGTTATGGCAGGGCTGAAGACAAGAAGAGTGGGACTGTGTGTGTGCTGCACAGGAGGATTACCTCAGGGATGGACTTAACAAAACGGATGCCATCGTTAGCTCCCTTGATCTTAATCAGGCAGTCGCAGAAGTAATCCCAGTAGTCTTTCCTCTGGCCAAGAAAGGTTGTCTTCTCCTTCTGGTCAAACTAAGAAACACACACCACCATGTTACAACAATGTCTGTCTGACACTAATGTGTATAATTGTGCATTTGCTTCAGTTTATAATTCATATAAAAAGAAAAGGTTTGAGAAAATGTTAAGAACATAAAGAATAAATGTGTTAAATAAATGTCTTCTTTCCTAACTTCCATCTCAAGACCCTTTCGATTTATATCATGCATTTGACTGTCCAAACTCCCAAGTAGGAAACCACTGGACCAAAGACTGTGATGAGCAGTGTTAGCACACTTTAAAATTCCCACTGGATCATCCAAACAAATCAAAGTAATACTTTACTGATTTAAGTTTTGTTGTAATCACTGTTAGGTGGTTTGATATCAGATTAATAGTCATTTTGTAAACTGGAGATGAAATTACAGCTGAAACATTTAGTCAATTATGTGATTAGTCAAGTGCCAGAAAAATTATGTGGGACAATCAATATATCTTGTAACTAATTTTTCAAGCAAAAATGCCAAAAAGTTGCTGGTTCCAGCCTCTTAAATTTGGACATTTCCTCTTCTATTCTTTGACTTACATGGTAGTCATCTGAATATCGAAGCAATCTGAACACATTACCTTCTGCTCTGAAAACTTATGATGGTCAATTTTCTGTATGTCCCGACATTTTATATACCAAATAATTAAATGACTGATCAAAAAGGTATGTGGCAGATTAATCAACAATAAAAATAATTGTTAATTGCGGCCCTGGTAGATTTAGGTACCCTACCTGTAGCAGGTATTCTAGTTTATAGAAGAACTTGTGCAGGTTGGCACTGTCATCTGTTATGGGTTCACCACACTCCCTGTGTTCTTTACTCAACTCCAACACAGCATCTAAACAAAACAGTTACAGCATTATTACCTCACACACACAAAAAAATCTGTTCCCACAATAACGTTTGCAACATTTTTATCCGTCACAGATGATTATTAGTCACAAAACATTTCCTGTCAAAGATGTGTGACTCTAAATGTTGCAATTATTCTGTGGGCAAGATACTGTATGCAGTTTTTTTTTGCATTGTTATGTCCTGTTTGATATATTATTTTTTATTTTTTAACTTTCTTTAATTGTAAGCCTACTGCAAAAAACATGTCACATGGCTCACATAGAGCAACACTGTATACTGTACACATATGTTGTTTATTGTTTGTGCAGATAGCTTAATCACCATGCAAATCTCTGATTATCCTCTGCAGTTGATTATCACCAACCGATGAGCAGGAGGCCATTGTGGGGAAAATGTCAGGAAATTCTGCATGTGGGATTAAAACAGAAATTTTTTTTGTTATTTCCCATGTTTCATGATACAAACACTGTTTCTCATATCCCTGAATTGTCCAGAATATACCCAAAAACGCATGTGACCGTAAATATATGCCAAAGCTGCTACCAGTGGGAGGTAGACATAAAAATAGTACTGCCCTAAATTAGTTTCCCCCTTCCTGTAAAAATCTAAGTCTCTTCCATTAAAACAACAGTGGATCCTGGAAACCTAAAGCTGATGAGACAACTGAATTGTGCCACTAAGAGGGTGCATGAACATGTTAAGATGACACACTAAGGAAACCACATTAAGTAGCCAAGTTAGCAATATTTGCCTACAGAGGAGGTACAACCTTTACATCACGACGACAGGTGGAAGCGTTACACTGTTTACAGCGACACTCTCTTTATCAGATCGTTGACACATGATTTATCTCCTGTTATCAACGGTCGCCAACACGAACCAGAAAAGTTGACTCGTATCACTTTCAAACCGCTTCAAAATGCAATCAACCGCGACGTAAACATGGATTTGTCAAAGCTTGCGAGTGCTATGTGACATGCACCTGCTCTCGGCTCTTCATTTCCTGCTCTTATTTCATGTACATTTCTGTCACAAGCCTTCGCAGTTTGGTTGTAAATAAAGCCAAACAGCTTAACAATAAATAAAGATTGAAATAATAAACGTACTTGATGTGTAAAATTGTCCAGTGTCCAGTTTGTAGGTGATACAGCAGAAACTTGCTACTGTTGGGGGCGGGCACTCTGAATGATTGACAGGTCTAATGGATAAATAGGGACCAGCTCCTGCTGGGATCCGTTCTAGTTTGGTTGAGAGAGAAAACGGTAAATAAAGTAAATAAACAGAAAGCTGAGCCGTGTGTCCTGCGTCATGTACCTAATGATTTATGAAATATATATAAAGTATAAGAACAAAAACCAAAAAAAAAGGCCCGTGTCATGTCTGACGAGTCTCTCTCTCTCTCTCTCTCTCTCTCTCTCTCTCTCTCTCTCTCTCCCCCTGTCTCTCTCTCTCTCTCTCTCTCTCTCTCTCTATATATATATATATATATATATATATATATATATTGACGAGCTGGTATATATACAAAAGAGATATACAAAAGAGATCAATTATTTATGAAAAATACTGGATTATGTTGTTCAAGCAATACATTTTTTTTATAAATATTGTGAGATAGTCCAGCCTGAGCAGACAGCAAAATTATCCTCAAGTTAAGTTGTTTGTTTTCTTATAGTGACAAAAACTGCACTGTTGTTGTTTGAGTCAACTGGAAATGTGTATGTTTTTGTAATTGTGAAAATGAAATTCCTATTACTTCCAAAGCCTAATGGGCTCCAAAAACAAGAATAAATGGTTAAGGGGAACATTTCATGTCACATGCAAGGTTGAAATGTAGGTGGGAGATTTCTGTTCATCTTTGTGGTCAAAACTTAAGGAACAATTCCTTGTCCACCTAGTTTTCACTGGTATTTGCATCAGGGACTCAGGTGTGTGCATGACTTTGTGGAGGTACAGTATGTTTCCACATTTCTCATTGTTGTAGTGGAGGTCTCAGGAGGTTGAATTTGACAATACTGAACTTAATGCAGTAATACATTGTTTTGTACTCTGTGTAAATAATTTGCAGATGCGTTTTGTCAGTTTTTTTCGACTATAAATTAGCAATGTGAATATAGTGACCAAACAGGTAGAGACATGTTTGTTCATTTTGCCCAGTCAGTCAAAGGTAGCCATTCAAATAGTTTTGGTTTTAAAAACAGTTGATTTTGTAATGGAACACTTTTTATGGAAAGTGATTATTGTTATTCAAATGTTCAAAGGCCCTGAAAACCACTCTTTAAATTGTGCATTGGAGAAAGTTGTGCATCCAATATGAATACACAACTTTTCTTCAAAGTTGTAACACTTATTATTATTTATTATTTCACTTGGCTCTAAAGTATATCCCCACAGTCCCTGGCAGGCCCTGTTTTTGAACCATGTAGGCTATAACATACAAACATGTCTGTATAAATATTATTATATCAAAATTATTCAATTTAATATTGAACTGGGCATATTTTAAGATTATTAACATGAAGAATATAAGTATTGTTTAGAATCTTTGCTGGTTCATATTTTCTTTCATTACAAATAGTGGCTTTTTGTGCAATTGACACATCAAGCTGATTTTAAACTGTTTTATTATGTGACAAAGCTATTGTTAATGTAATGGTTGGGTTTTTGACACAAAAAAAGACCATGGTTTGCACTAAAATAGAAACTGTATTAAGGTGAGAGAACCTTCGACATCATGGTTACAATAATTAACATAAAGCTAAGGAACCATCTGTCCACCTCACATCACCTGACCTCCTCCTTTGTCGCTATATATGGCTGTAAAACCAGTTTTGACAATTCAATCATCTTATCTGCTACTCAGTCTTTGTAATATTTACCCCTTTTTTTCTTTTCTTTTTTTTTACATTTTCTCCTACTTCTGAAGGAAAATGGCTACAACTGCAGATTCAATGCTCAGAGATACTACTGCTCCTATGACCATTTATGACGAATACTATGAAAATGAAGCGTGTGACAGTACAGGCGCCACAGAGTTTGGAGCAATTTTCACTCCAGTTTTCTTCTTCATTGTGGTGATCCTGAGTCTGTTCGGCAACATCCTGGTCATTGTGATCCTGGTCAAGTATGAGAATCTCAAATCCCTGACCAACACATTCATCCTGAACCTGGCTATATCTGATCTCCTCTTCACGGCAGGCCTGCCCTTCTGGGCCTACTACCACATGTACGGATGGACTTTAGGGGAGCCTGCATGCAAAATAGTCACCTTTGTCTTCTCTGTTGGCTTCTACAGCAGTGGTATCCTCCTCATCCTGATGACCACTCATCGTTATATAGCTGTCATGAAACCTCTGTCTAATATTGTGTCTACCACAGGCTGCTACAGTGTCCTGGCATCTGTGATCATTTGGGCAGCAAGTATCTTGATTGCCGTTCCAGCCTTCGTCTTCACTGGCATCCTGGAAGAGAAATACTGTGTATATGGGAGTTCTTACGAGAGCTTATGGGGAACCTACCTGCAAAATATTCTCTTTGTCATGAGTTCAGTGGTATTCATTTTTTGCTACTCTCAGATCATATGCAGGTTGCTGCGTCCTACTGCCCAAAGAAGAAAGAACAAAACTTTAAAACTCATTTTTACTCTCATGGTTATTTTCTTTGTGGGATGGGTACCCTACAATATAGTTATATTTTTACAGTCAATGTATCTCTGGCACAAAGAACCTGCTAAGTCAGAAGTTGTGGCCTCAGAATGTGAGACACGCAAACAACTGGAATACGCTTTTTATGTGAGCCGAATATTTGCCTTTTCACACTGCTGCCTCAACCCTGTGTTTTATGTATTTGCCGGGGTTAAATTCAAAAACCACTTGAAGAAAATGCTGAAGAGCTGGGGCAACGACAGAAACAGCCTCCGCAGGAGACAAAACCGACTAACAATCACATCACTAACAAGTGGGGAAGAGTTCTCGATGTAGTTGATGCAGTTCTCGGTGTAGACCTCATTCAAACGCATATAATTAAAAATCCAGGCTTGTAACAGCATCTTGTGTGGTTCATATAGGTCTAGATAAGGATGGTTACTTTTAAAAAATAAATAAATTAGTGAATATAATTGTTTATTCAATGTGTCTGTTGGTAGAATTTACATAGAGTGGAGAGAGGAAGGGGATAAACTCAAATAACCACACAGTGCAATGCATCTCTGAACACGCAACACATCTCTTGATTTCTGCTGAGACACGCAGATGGTAGGGTCCGAATTAGGCGTCAACAGCATGAATCCATGAACTCAACCTGCCTTGTGTCACCAGTCCAGGCTGCTGCTGCTTGTGGTGTTGGTGGTGGTGTAATTGTGTGGGGAGTGTTTTTTTTCCTAGCACACACAAGACCCTTTAATACCCACTGAGCATGGTTTAAATGCCACAGCCCACCTGATTATTGTTGCCGACCACATGGATCCCTTCATGACTACCTTCTTCACATGGCTTCTTCCACCTGGATAACAAGATACGTCACAGAGCATACGTCATCTCACACTAGTTTCATGAACATGACAGTGACTTCAATGTACGTCAATGACCTAACCAGACACTCAGGGCCGATCTAAGCTTTTAATGGGGCCCCTCAGCAGAATTTGATTTGGGGGGGCCACCAATGCCTCAGCGCTGCCAATAATATTTACTAATATCCATGCTTAATCATTCGCACACCTACTGTAACTTGGGTGTAGCTGTGTTGCTCTGTTAAAGGCAGCAGGAAATTATTAAACCAGTAGTATTAGCTAGCCAGCATCTTAGCATAATATTGCATTTTTGTAATAATTATGATTCATATAAAATCAAGCTCTCTTGTAGGGCATTTCAAGAGCTCTGGAAGGCCCTCTGGTGGCCATGTGGGTCCTAACCAAGGCACTTGGTTTGCTCATGCTTCAGGCCAGTGCTGGGTGTCTGGGGGAGGGGGCTAGGCTGTATTAGAAATGTGTACCCAATAAAGTGCTGTGTCTATAAAAAGTAAGAGAGGTAAAGCTTTTTATTTGACAGCTGTGATATACTGTGTAATGTACAGTTTTTCATCTTTAATTTTCCTTTTGTGTCATTTTCTACTTTGTACTTTGTACTCTGTACCTGTGATTTCAGATGCATGCTGATAAACTGATTGTACATGGCATAAGAGATAATATAACTGTGTGTGACTGTATGTGATTCCCTTTGCGTAACATTTGCATTTTACTTTCTGTGTTCATATCAAACATTTGGATCACTTAGACTATTTAAAATTTTCACCTTCATTTTCTGGAGTCATATGTGATTATTTGTCATTTATTTGTTAAAGTGTTTATTTTCACATGTCATCATCATCAACATTATGTTAACGCTTTGCAATAAAATAAAAATCACTCACTTTAAATTCAATTCCGTTTTGAAACCTCAACAACCCTCACTGCTGGTTCCATGACGTCCACTGTGCATGAATTCAGAGAATATTCTTACTCAGAATGAAATACTGAAGTAGCATCTCTGACTTAATGTGAAACAAAAAGAGGAATTGCAAGTCTGCTGTTATTACGTTTCCTTGACAGTTTGACACAAGACATGCCAGCTGACGCTCACGGTAAGTTGCTCGGTGCCTAATGAATACACTCCATATTTGAGATATTCTACAAGGAATTACTTTTTTTGAAATCACAAACTACTGAAGGGGTCATAGAAATCTACTCAGTGTTAGTTACATTTTGCCAATTTCAGTTTTGTGCTCATGTTTTTCTAGAAAAATCTACAATGGTGAACAACTCTGCAATGAACAACACAGGGATGAGCAACAGTGCTGATGTGGTATATTTTTGTGATGAGATATTTGACTTTGCGACCATCAGCGGTGCTTTCTTCATTTTGGTCTTCATCTTCAGCATTGCAGGCAACGGTGTCCTCTTATGTGTTCTTGTTGCTTACGAGAACCTGAAAAATGTGACTAATATATTCGTCCTGAACCTGGCTTGCTCTGATCTGGTCTTCACCTTCACACTTCCATTCTGGGCAACATATTTCCTGCACCACTGGGTCTTTGGGGACCTTTGCTGCAAATTCATGATAGCGGCGTACTTTGTTGGTTTGTACAGCAGTGTCATTCTACTGACTGCCATGACTGTGGATCGTTTCATAACGGTGGTGCTGCAAAACTGGCCATGCAACTCTGCGAAGAGGCAAAGGTGGGCAAAGGGTGTCTGTGCAGCTGCCTGGATCATCAGCATTGCTGCATCCCTGAGTGATGCTGTTAATGTAAAGGCAGAAACCGACTGGGATAATTTTACCACATGTGAGCACCCCTCTCACTATGATGCCAATGTGGGACATTATCTCCAAGTGTCACTGCTTTTCTTCGCCCCATTGCTCATCATTGTTTTCTGCTACACTGCCATCCTCAAGACAGTTCTGAAGTCTTCAAACAGGAAAAGGCACAGGACTGTAGTGGTGGTATTGTGTATTGTTGCAGCCTTCTTCATCTGCTGGGGACCTTACAATGTTGTCCTTTTCATCAAGTCTTTGTATGAACCCAAAGGCTGCGATGCAATTGAACGCTTGTCCATCGTCGATCATATTTGTCAGATACTCGCTTATTGTCACTGCTGTATGAATCCTCTGCTGTACATGCTCTCACAAAAGCTACGAAAACATCTGTTGCATCTTTTACCCTGTGAGAAAGACTGGAGGAAGAACAGGGAGAGAGGCATCGGCCAGAGCACTATTCAGAATACAACTACTATGTTACAGAACTCTGCTGTTATATTGGAACTGCACTCCAAATAGACATTCGCTTTTAAAATGAATCATTGGTCCAAATGCTTTTGTGGAACTTAGTTTGTATCAATTTTAATAAGTTTGTATCTATTTAATATATAAAAGTTTTTTCCTTAAAAAAATATCATGTAATTATGTATGATAATGTGTGGGAAATATTTTCACTTCTGCACTTTCCCAGCCTTTTTGAATGAACATTGCTCTGCTTTTACTGTAATATATCTAAATAAAATTTAGTTGGAATCCAGCTTAGCTGTTTTCACTTCTGTTTTTAACAACTAAATGTTGTGACATTGTCACAGTAAGTAAGTTATGCTGGGCAAGTACTTTTCTCAGTGCCAAGTCTGAGAACATAAGTGAAACTGTCTTGCGGTATCACATTGCTCAGACATAGATTTTACACTTACTGAGCCACTTCCTGGAGTGACACTGAGTGCACACTAAAGGTAAAGGTTATTTGGCATTTTATCTCTTTGAATTATTCTACTGCATATTTATTCATGTTCATGCTTGTCTTGAGAATTATGAGATGAAATTGAATATGCTAAATAGACAAACCTTGTATGTGTGCATGTATTTAACCTTCATTGACAAACATTAGGGAGGGACATTGTCATCCAAGCTGAAAAAGAATACACTGGCATGCATTTTATTTGCTGATCTGAACCATTTTCACTTGTTAATTCAATATTTCAAGTTTCAGTTAATATCCTCTGAATTCAATAAATGTTTTATACAACAGCTGATATAATGTTCAGGTTTTGTTGAAACTGTTTTAAAGAAGTGTTGATTCAACTGTATGATCATAATCGAGGATGTAGTTTGTGGTGGTGCTGAACTGCATTGCTATATACGAAGCTGTTATTTAGCTTACCCTCCATGATATAAATCAATCAATACAATTCAATAATATCACAGCAGTTACAGATTCCAAAATGACAATATACTTGAATCAACACCTCTCTAAAGCTGTTTCAACAAGAACACAACATAACACATAATCCTCATGATGGTGGGGTTTATTATTGGACTGTTACAGTAGAGGTGTTCCCAATTTTTTGACAACTGGTTAAAAGTTCTGCAGTAATGAATCATTTCTTCATCAGATCTATTGTCAGTTTATCACAAGTCACCAACAAGGAAAAAATGGACTTCAGCAATGACTCCAAAGACAGTGTCCACTACGACTACTACACGTTAAGTGACGACAGCTTGGCAGAGGAACAGGCTGAGATGCACATGACCCTCTTCTGCGCTGTGTGCTACATCCTCATCTTCTGCATCAGCATGCCTGGAAACAGCTTTCTCCTGGGGGTCCTTCTGAGGGAACGATGCTGGAAGACCACACCTGACATCTTGCTTCTGTAACTCACAGTTTCTGCCCTTTGCTTCACTGTGACTCTGCCTTTTTGGGCCTACAGTCTACTCCATGGCTGGGTCTTTGGGAACTTGGCCTGTGAAATCATTGGAGGGGTTACTTTTCTGGGGAAGCACAGCTGCGTGGTGATCATCACTGTCATGACGTTGTATCATTATGTTGCTGTGGACCATGCTTCATGTCTGACTGCACAAGCCTCCAAAAAGTTCCTGCTCGTGGCTAGTATTATGATATGGCTGATATGTGCTGCTGTAAGCATTGGGTTATCAATGAATTTTGTGGTAGAACATAGCGGATCTGATCCTATATGGTGTTCATATTATCCTCACTCACATTCTCTGGTGATCTTTTACATCTCTGTGCATTCTGGCCTTTTCTTTCTAATACCCTTCATTATCATTACATTCTGCTACGCCTACAGAGCTACCAAACAGTGTAGGATAAACAGACAACACCAGGCTTCAAGATTGATTCTAGGGATTACTGCTGGTTTATTCCTTTGTTTGGCACCATACAATATTGTACTCATTATAGAGCACCTGCATTTCTTGGTGCATTCGGGAAACCCAGTTTCACTGATACCACACTATCTGGTGTACATCATTATCACACTGCCTGATTTTCACTGCTGTTTGAACCTATTCCATATATATGGACAAAGGTTTAGGAGGTATCTCTGCATGCATGCATGTGACACTTCACCCCAAAGAAGAGATAGGGGTCAGGACGTCATGCCTCTAAATGACACCTCTGTGTGAGCAACAGCCATTTCTATTTCTCTACATACATTTTACAATGTGGCAATTTTAATAAACCATACTTAATCATAACTGCATTTTATAGGGTGTAATTTCTCACAAACCTCAATCATGTCCGTTTGCTAAGCCCTGGCTGTCAAGCTTTCTGTTCGCACATGGCATTTTGCAATCATATCTGTACCAGATTTTACACTTGAATTTCTTCAACAAGTCCTCCAACCCGAAAAAACATATAGGTCGTTTTTTTCCACCCTCTGATAAAACCCATAAGAGCGACTCTACGGCGACAAGCATACTGCAACAATTGGTTGTCATGGTTATAGTAAACGGGAAATAAGGGAATGTACCTACAGCGGCGTACCAACTTTTACTATGATAACGGGCGTGGCTTGGTTAGATTTAGGCACAAGAAGAAGTAAGGGAAAGATCGTGATTTTGGATAAAATAGCTACTTTCTCAACATTAGAGGCGATATTTGTTGTCATGGTTACATTAATAACAACGTCGAATGGTCATGGATAATAGAAACAATATAAACTCATATTCTTCAGTTTTGTTGACTCATCCATCCACCCATCTCTTAACACGGACTTTATTGCTGCATATATTACGTCACTGCAGTTTTCCCTTTGCTCTTGTCATAATTAACACGGCCGCTAGATGTCGCCTAAACACAAAACATAACTGTTCATGATAACCGGCTGCACAAACGACCCATGGGCTCGTTCAAGTTATTATAGGTACTCTCTCTCCTAGATAGATTTACTGTCTCTAAACCATCATTTAATGGAAGATTGTTATAGATTAGCTGACTGGCTAACCTAGATAATGTGTTTGTTGAAAACACTGTCATTGGCTGACTTTCAATATTTCAACTGAATCATTTTAAAAGGAGAAGAGGGGGTCTTAAAAAAGCTTGAAGTCTACATAAACTAGTGTGTTTACATGCGCACTAATGTTTCTGTTGCACATGTCCTGGTTTCAGAAACCTGGATATGCTACCTGGAGTATTGAATTAGAAGGCTACAGAACATGGTGTGAAATCAGATGATCAGAAACCTAGATTTTATGTAAGGATAAACAGGAATAACCAGGTTTCTCATGTTCCAACAGACACATTGTGAAAAACAGGAATTAGCAAAGGTGATATTTAATGGTTATTGCAGTAGATAATAGGTTTGTAAGAAAGAAGAAGACAAATAAGGTATTTAGGAAAATGTTATCTAACATTGTTTCAAATGATGAAGAAAACCATCAGCATAGCTCCATTTGTATGGAAACAAATGTACAGTATGTTCTCAGTTGAAATTCTCAACTCTACTCGATCAACACATTGTTATTATGATTTAACTGTACTTAACAAATCAACCCACAAGATGGCAACAAATATGTGTCACTTCATGTCAATTTTAAAACAATCCTAATAATGAAATTATG